GCTGGCAAGACGTAATGCGAAGCAAGGGCAGCCATGACCATAGGCCTGCGATCTGCCACTCTGATCCAAGCACTGATGAGGTAGGTTACCTAGTTAGGGTCATGAAACGTTTGCAAGAAACCAAGCAAGCTCAGAGAGCATCAAGGACCCCTCTCTCTGCCACAGCTGATCCAGAGGGCTCCCTTGAAGGACATGTGATATGGACAACATGTCAAGAAAGTTAAGATAGTCCTGGTCTGGTTTGTATTGGCTTAATGCGGGTGTCAGCAACCTGCGGCTCTGGAGCCTCATGTGGCTCTTTGGGCCCTCTGCTGTGGCTCTCTGTTGGGTGATCCCACCACTGGCTGGCCCCGCCCCTCACCCTCCCCTCCCAGTTACTCCTTGCCTAGCCTGAGAAGGTAAAACACAAAAAACAGAAATGAGAGGGAGGGAGGGAGAGACCCATTTCCCACAGAAAACATGTGACTGGGGGGGGAGTGACGTAGAGTTGGCCGCACCCACCCAGGTTTTGTGGCTCCTGGTGTTTTCTTTTCTGTGGGAAATGGGTCCAAATCAGAGGTGGTCTTCAGCAGGTTCTGACCAGTTCTGGAGATCCGGCAGTGGAAATTTTGAGAAATTTGGAGAACCAGCAAATACCACCTCTGACTGGAGATTTTACAGTATCCTTCCCCTGGCACACCCACCAAGCCACGCCCACAGAACCGGTAGTAAAAAAAATTAGAATCCCACCACTGGTCCAAAATGGCTCTTTGAGTGTTTAAGGTAGCTGACCCCTGGTTTAGTGAGTACCAAGACATTTCAGAGTAGACTTGGACCACTGCAAGGACATACCATTCCGAAGCAAGCATTTTTGGCACGTTGAACGCTTTAATTCAGCTCTATTTATTTCTTAAATTTAGATTTCTCCCTGTCTTAAACACATGGCTCTGGGCGGCTAACAACGAAGAACAGAAAGCAATAAAAAGACCTCTAAGTAACACAAATAGCAGCCGAGCAACCAATCTAACAATGCTAATAAATCATCTTAATGGGCACAACCAGGAAATGGGCTCGCCAACCTCATAAGGCCTCCAGGCTTGATGGCAAAACCAGTTCTTTAAGGATTTGCAAAAAGCTATGAGGGTCAGGGCAAGTCTGACTTCTGGGAAAATTACTCTAAGTATCTTTAGATAAGGGCGGGAGAGGGAAACCTATTAGGTCATTAGAAACTACAGTAGAAAATTGAGTTATATAGATCAACAATTAAAAACAAACAAACCACCAATTATATCAATTGTACTTACTGTTAGTCACTGCTGCTAATTTGATCAACACTCAAAAGCAGAAGCTTGGCTTGAACCAAAGTTGCATTAATTCTTCTTTGATGGGTAAGAATAGAGAAGAAGCAAATCCTACATTTTTAAAAGCAAACCTTCCATTTAAAATGTGTGTTTATTATGCCTCCCCGCTTTTTGGGGGTTGTTAAAAATCCTGGGAATGTTCTATATGAATGTATTTGTACTCTCCTGGACATGGTAAACTTTATATTGTGTTCTTTCTTTTACTGCTGTCAATAGCCCAGCATCTTACGAAGTTGGTTGGCCTCTAAATTTAATAAACAAATTTTAAAATGGGGGGATGGTCAGAAAATCATGACATTACAAAGCCATGGAAATATAATCAATAAAATCCATCCATCAGGTGATATTGTAACATTAAAACCAAAAGAAATCACCTTATTCCCTAGAATCTATCCATTACCTTTATCCTATAAATGAAATTTCATGGCCTGGTTGCATTTCATGGCCTGGTTGCATTTCTCTAGCGGGGAATTTCTCTTTTGCTTTGCAAATATGCTCCAATTACAGAGTGACACACGAGCCCATGAATGTTTATGTAATCGCTGTTTGCTAATAATAAAGAGTGCGTGTTGCTTTGGGGGAAAATTTGGGAAGCTCCTAAAATTAGAAGCTGTTTTACAGTGTGGGTTTCAGGTCAGACTATTTAAGCTCCGAATTTAAATAGAGGAACTACTGTTTCAAGGAACTATACATAGGATACATTCATTTGTATATTTTTTTTCCTGGCTGGTGACTTCTCCGTAGGATTTTATAAAGGAGGCTATAAACTGATAGGGTGGTCACCCTATGGGAAGAAAGTGCTCCTTGTGTGGGGTTGGACATGAACAGAGAGAGAGAGAGAAGGGGGAGGGAGAAGGGGGAGGGAGAGAGAGGGAAAGGGGGAGAGAGAGGGAGAGAAAGGAGGGAGAGGGAGACACAGAGAGAGAGGGAGACAGGGAGAGGGAGAGGGAGAGAAGGGGAGTCACAGAGAGAGACAGAGGGAGAGGGAGAGAGAGGGAGAGGGAGTCACAGAGAGAGAGAGAGGAAGA